GCATGCTTTTATTTCTCCTTTCCCCTCCCCTGCGGGCTCTGCCAGCAGTGAGCGCCTGGCCAGGGAAGGGAAGATGGATTTGACTGCAAATGCTGCCAAGTGCAGCGAGTCAACGCGCTGGGAAAACTAAGGAGACAATTTGATCCCGCTCCTTTAGCACCAGCAATGCTGGGTGTGATTTGATAAGAGTCGGTATTTCCAAGCTGAAAGGCAACTGTTTAAACTCATGTCTGCAGGGCTCACGGGTTCCTTGATGCTTTCGTCTTAGCCTGCATTTCCACTGACAGAAAACCCCAGGCCAGGATTCCAGAAGCAGCGTCCCTCTGAGATGTGCCGACTGGAGCTGAGAGCAGCCTGGGTGCTTTGGTGAAGCTGTTTCCAGGCAGAGGGAAGGAGTGGGTCCCATTTCTACCGAGTGTGAGCGCTGCATCCCCACCATAACAGGGCAAATGTCAATGGCAGAGTCCCCAGCTGACCTCTGTGAGCCTCCTGGCTCAGCAGCACAGCACCGAGATGGTGAGCTGTTAAGCACAGAGCTGGAGCTAAAGATCAACATGAAGCATCCCTCGCCCTTCGGGTTTGACTCCAAACACCCATGATGTAAATGGGGTTGGGCTGATGGCAAACCTGCCCCACTGCTGGCACCGGCGGAGGACAGCAGGGGACTCCTTGGTTCCTGCGAGCCCCTGCCTGCTCTATTTTGCCAAAGGCACAGCCAGCAAACTGCAGCACAGCCCCACAAAGCCCCAGTCAGTGCCTTGTGCACCTGCTGGCACCAAAGACTCTTCAGAGGGTTGAGCTCTGCAGACGTGATCTGCCTGAAATGAAATACAGAAGTGCTGCCAGAACTGTGGAGACGTCCTGGAGAGCACGCAGGGAAACAGAGCAGGTGCAGAGGGAGACGTGCTGAGATACTGCAGCCACAGAAATCCAATTCCCTGTTCAATTCAGTGCCCTGAAGATTGTGCTGATAGAGGAACATCTTTCAAACAGGGATGAGGCTGCAGGTTGGGGATGCAGAGAAGCACTCGTGTGTGTACACATGGGCACGGAGGGGGAGATGATTGAGAGAGCCCATAAGAGTGATGGTGGAGAATATGGAAGTGCACACAAAAATCAGCCTGGGAAATTCAAATAACTGCTGCGACGTAATGGGCTGAATGCATCCCGAGTGCTCAGCAGCGACACGGGGGAGACGTGGAGCCCGAGACGTCAGGAGCAGCCATTAGGATGGCTCCGCTTCAGAGGCTTTTAAGGAGCTATTTTTGCCATTCTGCAGTTACTCTGCAGGATATTCAGCCCCCACCATCCTCCAGAGAGCTTATCCTCTTCTCTCAGCGTTCCCCATCACCAGAGGTAGAAGAGGGGCCTGGAGCACGCAGCCACCGGCAGCACAGAGCTCCTGTGCTCGGCCACACAGTGCTGCTCCAGCACCACCCCGCTGGCCCCATCCCATAATACTACCCCTCTGCCACATCGTCACGATGGGAGCGCGGAGCTGTCACCCATCAGCACCCATCAGAGAGCCACGGTGTGGAATTACAGCTGCTCTGGGAGCGCCGGGTCCTTTGATTGGACGTGGGAGCCCTCGAGCAGCGTGTGAAGGCGCACCAGGTGCCAACAGCCTGCTGGGAGCTGCCTTCCAGTTGGAGACACCATCTCCACCTGCCAGCTCTACCAGTTACACCGCCAGGGTCCCAGTGCCAACACCTCAGTTATTTTTAATGAGGAGCAGGGCAGGGGAAGATCGTGTTTGCAACAGATATGGAAGGTACAGCTTACCAAGGGCATGACGGGAACGTGAGGTCACGACAGGAAGAGCTCTTTCTTGTTTGCCCACGGAAGGAAGTCAAGCTGTTGTGATCCCACTGCCTCCAGAAGCCTGAACGTGGTAACAGGAACAGAAGAGGCTCCGAGGTTGCAGCAGGTGGCTCTACAGCCGTCACTTTTGATGCAGGGCTCCCAGTCAGCATGGCAGCCTGCTCCCATCACACCACTGACACTCCCCTCCGCACCCCATAGCCAGCTTCAGCGCCATCACTGCACGTGGACCAGCCCCAGCCAAGTTCCACTGCCTCCAATGAATATCTGCTTCCACGGGACAAAAGGTCACAGAAGACCATCAGGTAGGGCTGTTATTTAACAAACTCAGACGTGATGGGGTTTGAGCTGCTCGGCAACGCTTTGAGGAGGAGCAGCCCCAGCAGAGCAGAGCTGCACTGCCCAGGGCCACCCTCCTGTGTGCTGCATGGCCCCGTTAGCTCACCCATACACTCCCCTCACAGCCTGTGGGTTATTATTCCAGCCTCCAAGGACATAAACAGTTCCTTTGACTTAAGGAATGAGGCTGAGCCCCCAAAGCATTTCTCACCTTGTCAGAGCCTCCCACGTCCGGCCGTCACCCCGCTGCTCCTCCAGCCCCCCAGGCACAGCACAAAGCCTAGCACAAATCACACCTCTCCCAGCCTCCTCACCAAGATCATCACCCAGGGCCTGCAACAAGCACTGGACAGCAGATCCTCATTGCCCTCATAGCCCACCCAACGCTCAGAGCGCTGCTGGCCTCAGCCACGGCCGCTTACATCTGTTAGAGATCCCAGATGTCCAGGAAACATCTGGCTTGCCTACGTCATCGCCTTAAAATCCAACAGATTCAGCTCTATTCATTCCTATCCCTGCCGTTTTATGCAGCTTTCCAAGAGGGAAAGAATGTTCCAGAAGGCATTTCTTTCTCCACGCCCTGTTGCAGCTGCAGGAGATAGGTGGCCAAACGCAGCTTGGCTGCCTGGGCAGCTTTTGCTGGGTGCTGGAAGCACCAAGCCCAAACAGCATGGATTGGAGTGCTGGTCAGCAGCAGGACAGCAGCTGCTGGAGCTACAATAGGACCAATGATAAAAGAGTTGGTCCCCAAGGAGTGTGGGTGGACAGCATCAGCATACCTGTAAACCCCTCTCCACAAATGAGAGCATGAAGAGGTGACTTTGAACTGAGGAAGGCTAACATTTCATCAGTTTGAGAGAAAAACTGCAACACCAAAGGTGCTGCTGTGCTGTCTGTGCCCACTGCTCCAGGGCTGGGATCTCAAAGATGACCATGGGAAGTGAAATACAGAGCAAGCTGGGATGCACACTTCAGTGCAACACCGTGGCCCAGGTGCAGGAGCAAATCCCTACAGTGGCTCTGCCAGCAGCACTGAGGGAAACAAGGTGCCCACGAGGCAGCACCACACATTGCTTATCAGGATACTTCTATTAACAGCCTCCTTCTCACTTCCACTGCTACACTACCCTCTACTTGACTGCAATATGTTTAATCAAGATGTTTCTTAAGGAACCAAATAAAGCTTGATGATGCTTAATGGTTGGGGCTTAATGGAAGGGTTGTTTAACTGGGCTCATAATTTTGATTAATTAAGATGCCTGCAGGTGTTGGAGTGGTACTTAGGCAGTGGCTTTGATGTTCAGAGGCAGAGGGGTTCTTGTATCCCCTTCAAAAGATGTTCTGCCAGCACTGCTTCAGCAAAGCAGAACTGCCTCCAAGCATTTGCAAAACAAGTTGGCTGTGTTGGAGCCGGCAGCACCTCGCCGAATTCCGGTCCCTTGGACCAGCTGCTTCTTGGGACAACCCACAGAAAAACACCACCACAAACAAACAAGCCACCAAAAACCCACCAAAACCAAGACTTGTTTGAGGGCAGCCTCGGCCTCCTTGAGAGGAGAGAAATAACATGAGAGGATCTCCACAGGGTGACGGCAAGAGGCCGACCAGAACAGCGATGTGCACATCCTGGGACTGACTTGTATTTCTATCTCCTATTCAGCAGCCAACACTCTTACAAAACTTCCTTACCTCTGAGATTTTTGCCTCTTGAATGCAAATGAAATGTACACAGGTTTAAAAATGTATGGGGAGAAAATAGGACATGGATAGCAGCGTGGCACACGCTCATTTCCATTTGAAATCAGACTGAAGCACTGGAGAGAGGCAAAATGAGCCAAACTCACCTTCGTCGTCAGCATCAAACATCAACGCCACGTTAAACAGAGCTTGATTTAAGGCTAAGGAAATTAGTGCAGTCAAACATAAGGGCAATGCTACCTTATGGGCCACCAGGCGAGCCTCTTCCAAGAACAGCCTCAGTGTCACTCGTTGGCAATCGCACGCAGTACTGAGTCAGGAGGAATGAGCTCAGCCTTCCATACATTCTGCTTCGTTCCCCTCCCTGTGGCTTTGTGCAGTTGGAATAAGAGCTATTCAAATGCAAGGTATGGAAACTTCAAATGCAAACCGGAGTTGCCCCTGAATGTTGTCAGCGTGCCCGGTGGCTTAGGATGAGTCATCAGTGTTTTTCAGTGCACTCACACCAAAGCAGAGATTGGGCTGTGTGACTCTGCTCCGAGGGATGGAAGCACTTTAAGGGAAGTGGTTGAAGCACCCAAACACCATCAGGTTTATCGGAGAGTTATAAAGAAGTAGATTACAAACAACAAACTCTGAAAACTCCAATGGGCAATGGGCAAAAAATACATCTGAAAAATCACCCTCAATGTCTTCGATAGAGAATTCATCTTTCCCGTCCCAAGTTCAGCAGCATGGATGCCATCCACAGCCCAGCCGGCCAATTTTGTTTCATTTTTATTGCCAGACCAATGCAGGACCCAAAGCCATTTTATTTTTGCAGTGATTAAAGGATTTGATTAAGACCCATCAAAGTGCCAGCCCTGCTTGTCCTCTCCTCTGATTGCTGAGCGGATCTCTTTGCTTCCTGCATGTTAAACAGCACCAAGTGAGTGTGTCTGCCCAGAGGGTGGTGAGAGAAATCTCTTGGTTGCCATCTCTGTTGCTCCAGATTAGACCTGAAGGCCAAAACAAGAGCTCCTGCTGCACTTCAGCCCTTTAAGAAAATGGTACTTTGTAATGCAAAATTCCTCTCCTTCCACTTTTAGGAAGTCTCTGGGGGTATAACGCGGGGGAGGAAGAGTGAAAAGTAACCAGAATGGTTCATTAGAGCATATTCTTTTATTAATAAAGATCAGAAGAATAGCTGGAGGGACAGCAGGTGAATGGATGACATTGAACCACATATTGTCAAAAGCCATTCAAAAGAGCTGAGTTGTTCAGCAATCCAGCAGTAGCTGCCTGCCTTGTTCTGCCAGGGTAAAGAAGCCTAGAGATGTGGCTATGGATCCCCAAAGAGTTTTGGAGGGGATATGAAGTGACCTCACTGCCAGCCCTGGGGGCCAAACGCACCTCACTTGCAAGTCTTCCAACAGTAACCAGGAGCCAGAGCTGCTGGTCAGAGCCTCCTCACGCTACTTAGAGACCACAGGAAGACTTCCCCCACCCTGCAGACTTTGTGACCTGCTGTTTTCCAATTCAGAGCCCGTGTCGGACAGCAGGAAGCAGAATGTTAACCAGAGCAGTTCAAGAGCCAGACAGCCCCAGCTTACAGGATCTGTGGGTGTGATGCATTGACCTCCTTTTCCTCCTGGCTTACTGAATTTATTCTGTTACAGCCCCCCTGGACTGATAAAGGGGAACAATCTCACGACGACTCAGATTTTGAAAAGACTTCAGATTTACAGAGATTCCTTTTTGTGAAGTTCCTCCACTTCTCTATTAGGCAAAATTGATGAAATCAAACTCCCTTCTCATCCTTAAGGTGACTTCCAAGAGCTCCTCTTCAGAGAGGAAACGAGCTTTCCCCTTCTTGCTGTCCACAGGGCAAGGGAGATGCAGCAGTAGCTTCCTGTCAAGGAGGACACAGTGAGTTTTAATGGCCCAAACCACGTGAGCCATTGAGATAGCACTGAAAGCCATCCTAGTGATTCAAGAATCAGAATATCAAGCAAAGCCCATTCTGTGTAACCTTCCCATGACAAGCTGCACAGTTCTGCAATACCTGGTACACAACTATATAGGCCCTGGAGCATTTCCAACAGTTCCATTCTTTTGGCTGTGGCTACAACAGCTTCCAGCGATGGGCTGTGAGTTCCCTGCACTGTTCTTGCTTCTACACAGTGCAGAGGAAGGAGAAGCTGCACTGATAATGCTCTCCTGGTGGTAAACACCTGAAAAATGCCTGAAGTGTCTGTGGGAGCTTGTATTCTATAGCAAGAAGAAACAACTGGCACAGCTGGGTTAGAGATTCTGGCCAGTTTCACAGAAGATACACCTACCTACCCTAAAAGACAACGCTGTTGTGTGGATATGGGGGTTCCACATCTTTTCAACTGTGTTGTAGGAGCCACAGCCAAGGCACAGTCAAAACACACTTAACCTCACCTACAGAAGTTAACCAGCTGGTAGCATATGGAAAAGATCAGTTGGGCTTAGAGTCAGCCCCAGGACTATGCAGTGGAAAACAATTCCTTTGGGCCCTCCCATACATCTGTGAGAACACAGTGTTTCCTCGTACGTAGAACTTGAAATCTTATTTGTTTCTTTCATCCTGAGCAGATTTGCACTTACATCTGCAGAACAGCACTGGCTCAGGCTGTACCCAAGCAACCACCAGATTTACAGCAAACGTTTTATTTGCAAGGCTTATGTCTTGAGACAGCTGGATACTAAGATAATGGCAGATCTGAGTCACCAAGAAGACAAAATTGCAGAAGGAAACAGAAGTGAAGGATTTGCTACACCTGCAGCACTGCACTAAGCTACCTCTTGTACTAACTTCAAGTCACAATCTGGACAGTTACTGCTCTTGGCTTTCCTGTTTCAGAGCACTCCCAAACATTCTTTCAGCACTGTTTGCATCTTTAGGTTAAATTTCTGCAGACTCTTTCTGCCTGTTCTGCAGTCAGTCCTCTCGGGACAGAACTGATTTTGGCTTTAATTCACAGCGTGCATCTTCAGCTGACTGATGCTAACAGAAGGCTATTGACATATGAATCTTCCCACGCCCCACTCAGTGCAGGAAGTCGGTCTGGGGCAGAGGGTTAAGCTTTCCTGTGGAAGCACTGTGCTGCCTGACTTACTTTTGGGGAGTTCGGAGGTCAAGCACCTTGTCCTGGATATCTAAGGTGATGTCTGAGAACTTTGTCTCTGGCAGCTTGATTTTAATCTGAAACGATGGGCAGAGTTAAAGCTGTGATTGGATACGTGGATCTGTAAAAGACAGCTCCAAAAAATCACCCAGCAATCGTACCAAGAGAGCAGGGAGGTCATTGATCAGAGCAGAACAGGACTGGATCTGTTAGGCTGGCAATACCTTGGCATCCTGCTAACTCACATGCATTGTAACAAATGATGAAAATCATCTCCTTCCCAGACTCTCCCCATCCCAAAACTGTGTCCAAGGTGAAACCTTGTTTTAGAGCTGCTTTCGTCTCGCTCTGTGACACACACTGCACAGCTTCTCTTTGGCTTCTTCTCCTTGAGGAGATGTACTGGGGTTCCTCACATTAGTAAGAGCAGATCAAGCTACAAACACTTGAATAATTACAAATTAAAATCCCACAGGAGCCTGAAGGCAGCCATGCCTTGGTGCTTATGTTCTGTCTCAAGAAGAGGGCAACACTGTGCAGAAAAAGGGCACAGAGAAGGGATGGGAAACACAGGCTCAGCTCACCACCATATCTTCACAGCAGGCTGTGGAAGGGTCTTTCCTGCTCATCCCAAAGAATACATCCTCTGTTCCCACCTGCTGTTTGAAGGAAATCTCATACCTGAAAAAGAACAGTTGGCTAGCAGCAGAGGAGGCTGAAGGAAATTGTCTTTCTCAAAGCACCATCAGTCTCTGTGTGAATGCTCACGTCCTTACCACTTTCCCAGTCTTCCTTCAAGTCTTCAAGCCAACTGCACTGGATTTCTGTCCAGAGCCATGACAGTTTGAACAAGGTGAGCATTCACCTTCCTGGGAAATCCCCGTGCTGCCTCTACCTCACTAAGCAGCACTGCAGGATCATCGAGCAGCAGAGGCATTCTGAGTGAACGTGGACCTCAGCAAGAGGCCAAGCACCAACTCTTGGGAAAAGGCCTGGAAAAGGCTGCTGTTAATTACATGTTCTGTCACCCAGCCTATCTTGTAGCCTAGAAGTGCCTCTGTTATCTTGCCTGGTTTTAATTGTTTTGCATTTGGCCGACGTTAGTGTTATTCCCCTCCAAATCCATTTGTTTAATTCAGAACCCTACAAGATCCAGAATCACACTTTCCTTTGCTCTCGATACTTAATGAATGAAGGAATACAAACTGAAAGATTGCATTTAGAACATATTACTCTTGCTAAATTGAGCAAAATAAATGGAGCCTCTTCTCAAAGCTGTTGGAAAAAAAAGTGTATGGAAAGTATTTTTCACATCTCCAGTGCTCCTGTGCGTATGTAATAATTCCTAAGTCAATGAGAAATCTGTCTAGCAGCTCTGGATGCACCTCTAACCATCTGTTTTCCTTTTGGGCCTTTTCCTACGATTTAATTTGATGAACTATTACAAAGATTTACACTCTCGTCTCATCTGTGCAACACAGGACGTAATTGCTGGAGGCTGGAGAAGGGCTGCATCACAGCCCTTTCAGCAGGGAGGGAAGGGTCGAAAATCGAGTGCAATAAAGCTCCTGTTGTGCCCACAATGCAAAGGAAGAGCATTCCATAGCTCACCAGTGATAGATTCAGGAACAACTGCACTGCAGTGTGGGTGCAGCTTCATGGACTTCAGCCCATCTGTTCCAGCACGCAGCTCCAGGGCAGCGCATGGCATCGCAGCAATGCTGAGCTCAAACCCTGCTCTGCAAACTGCTCGGCCCTGAAGGCTTTCTGACCTCTACAAATTACCACACAACATGCTTGCCTACTTCTACAATGTACTTCTACAGCGAAGGGAGACGACTGTTTAAGGCTGTCCCTTTTAAGGCTGTCCCTCAGGAAGCTACGATCAAATAGAAAGATTTAGAACTGCCAGCATAAAGCCTTCCTTCCTATGGTGGCAGTTGTCTCTGAAGAGTTTAATTCTTTGAAATAAACAGGAGTTGGAGTGCTTTGTGAATCTGAGTGTGAAAAGTGAATGCACGTCAGCTGCAGCAGGAAGAACCAGGTACTTCACACCAGCGTGGCAAGTTTCAGAGCATTTTGCTGGCCTGCTTCCCCTCCTCACCTCATTTTGTACAAGCATCTGACACTGCAAAGTGTCTTGTGACAAGAAAAACCAACTCCACCTTTCTGTTATGAGATCAGGTTTCCAAGCTACAGTCCCTCTTTGCTAGCTGCTTTACCTGCAGTGCTGCTGTCCTCCCATCAGCTTTTCTTGACATGCTCTCCAGATCGCTGTGTTTCACTCACATGGAAGCTGTGCAGCCCAGCTCTGCATTCCAGCCACGTCCAACCCCAGCACACCATCTCACATCACTTACTCTGGCTGTTCTCTAGGATCCCAGGCGTCGTCGAATTCAGATCCTTCTGGGACCTCTTCTGAGCTCCAAATAGTTTTGCTGTGTTCAGATTTCACTTGTAAGGTATCTGTAAGCAACAAGAAAAATCTCTGTTTCTTTTCTTTGGTTTGCTGAAAACTGTCAGATTTCTAGACTCCAGGAAAAAAATCTTTTCATCAAAATAAATTGTAGCTAATGATCTCAATCCCTTCAATATCATAAAGGATCAGAATTTGAAGAGGGAGGACATTTTCTATTCCTTTCCATTAAATCTCCTTTACCCAACCTCTATGCCAAGGAAATTGTCCTTTCAGGCATAAAATACCCAGCGCTTCAACATGATTCAAGTGGAGAATGATGAAATATTAATCTTCCCCCATGTCTCTGACACGAGATTTTAAGTGAGCAGAGTCCCCTGCACAAGGGGATACAAAGCCATCAGTGATTGAGCACAGCCCTGACGAGGCACTGGCAAAGTCCATAGCAGAACACAGGCTGTCCCAAGCCTACAGTGAAGGTGGTCACACTGACCAGGGCTTGCAGACAAAGAGCAAGGTGCAGTAAGAAGAAAACAGGACGAATGCTCTCAGCCTGTTGAAGGTAGCCCTGAGCTGAGCTCATTCCACGTGCTGTGGGGACAATGGCACACACCTGTGCTTTACAGCACACCTCCCAACCCCTCATCCTTCATCCAGACTCAGCTTTGTGCAGCTCACCCCATGAAGATCCCTCCAGCTGCGTGCTCTAGGCAGTAACAACTCCCTGAGAGTATCCCTATGGAGCTTTTTGCTGCCCACTTATGACTCCTGCCAGCCCACCTTCTGTGCTCTGTTTATCATCAGCACTGGAGGTGCTGCCCTCCAGAGTTACCTTTTCTGCAGTTAAGTTTCCAGGAGAAGAAGAATTTTAGCGTAACTGTAACAATGCAATGGCCTTCCACCTCAAAGGTCCACTCACTTATTGAAGGAGGCCATCTGTGATAACTCGCAACAGCTGTTGCAGTCTGTTCACACACAACTGAATGCTAAGGTACACAAACACTCCTTACCAGTGCTCTCCTTCTTTACTGGTCCGATGCTCCCAGGAGTCATGGCACTGACAGAACAGCACGGCTGCAAAAACCCACGTGGGACTGCAATTAATTATCACAGAGCACAGCTCGGTAACAATCACATCAGTAATTACAACGTGTCATCAGAAGTCGCTGCTGGAGCCAAAATTTCCCCCACCATTTCATGACTGAAGCAGGGAATCTCTCTCCCTCTCACTGAGCACAGCACCCTGATGCACGGGCTGCAGGCAGGACTCCCAGAAGCAGCGCTGCAGCCAGCAGTGCTTCTCAAAGATTCGTTTCCATGGCATTTTGAGACAATTGTTGTGCTTTGCCTGCCCTGAAAATACTGCAAGAAGCCAAGGGTGCTACGTGCAAATTCCTTTTAACAGGAGAGATCACATGAGGCAACAGCGCTTTCCTCTAATCATGAATCAATTTAGTGCTAATAGGCCAATGTGAGGCATTTCCATCTATGTGTGAAGATCCCTCGGTTTGATAGAAGTGCCTCATCTGCAGAGAACATTAAATTAAATCCAAACAAAGATTTCAAATTGCCCAGCTTGACTCAGGCTTAATTGACAGAACTCGTAGCAATTTTCCCTTTCTGCCTCTGAAGTGTCATTCATTTTATTATTAAGATGTAAACAAATTCTTTCTAAAGTCGGGATGTTTACTGCAAAGATGTACAGCAATGACTCCAGCTTCAGAAAGCCAGCATTTAAGAGCTGAAGGGCAGCTGGAGCGTGAAGCACCACATTTGCCAGCTACAGAAAGGAACTTCTAGGAGACACTTTTTCCCCAGAGGCAGCAATGGCCACTGCCTGCACACAGCTGCCAGGCCAGCCAGCTGGCTCTGCTCTGAGAGCTGATGAGGAGCTCACATCCTCACCGTTTTTGTTATCTGTGTCATAATGCAACTTGTTCAAAATTCTAAGAGACTCATCCATGTTTAGAGCAATCTCTGTGGCCTTGGCCGTCATCTCTGTGGCCCTTCCTGAGCAAAGCAGGGCAGATTGTTTCTCCCTAGCACCCATGTGTGCCTACTGCACAGCTCCGTGTTGCAGGAGCAAGAGAAGTTCATCTGTGATTTGCTTCAAGTCCTGAGATGAATTGATATAAAAGAACGTGGAGATATTTCTCTCAATAATCATTCAGTTCATTTTAGAATGATTACTCACCCTTCCCCATTCTATAGTCCCCGGAATACCTATTGTACTTCTGTGATCAATTGTGCTTCTTTAATGCCAGGTACAGGACTAACACATTCCACTGCTGCTGAGTGTTCCAGTCTTTACTCAGAAGCTGCATACTGCTGTAATTGCCCCCACCTCTAAAAGACTTCAGGGAAAAGCAGGAGGAAATCTAAGCACTCAGGGCTCTCTCAGCCACATCTCATTTCCTTTAGGCTAAAAAAATAAACAGCCCTCCCATTCTGTTTACAAGGGTGGATGGTGATAAGACAAGGGAGAATGGTTTTAAACTGAGACATGGGAGGTTCAGGTTGGATATTAGGAGGAAGTTTTTCACACACAGGGTGGTGACGCACTGGAACAGGTTGCCCAAGGAGGCTGTGGATGCCCCATCCCTGCAGGCATTCAGTGCCAGGCTGGATGTGGCTCTGGGCAGCCTGGGCTGCTGGTTGGTGACCTGCACACAGCAGGGGTTGGAACCAGATGAGCATTGTGCTCCTTTTCAAGCCTGGCCACTCTACGATACAATATGATTTGTTCTTGTGGCATCCAAAAATATCTCCTAATTGTCTCAGCCACTCCAAAACCTTCCAAGGTTTTATTTCCCTCTTTATCTGTGCTGGGAAAAGTGAGGTTTGTGTCTCCTTAGTTAATAATGTTGGGCACTGTGAAGAAGTCACACAAAAGACTCACACCGAAGTCATCGTCGTCCTCATCCTCGCGTGCATCACTGAGCAGCTTGGCAAGGGACTGCAAAGAGCAGACTGCAGAAACATCCACCTCCATCCTCACTCCTCCCCTGCAGGGGAAAACCAGCACCACCTCAGGAACAACAAAGCCTTTGCACCGCGCTGCCCTTCTCCGAGCACCGTGCGATAAGCACCAAATTCGATCAAAACCGTACGTACCTCGCCTCTCCCTTGTGGGCTGGGTCTCGGGAGACAGCGCCTCACGCCACCCAGAGCAGCACAGGACCGTAAGGCCCGACGCCGCCACCTCCTGCGTCCGTCGTTGCTGAGGTAACGGCGCCCCGCTCCTTTTCCCGCCTCCTTTAGCCCTCTCAGCCAATCCAACAGAGCTCAGCAACGAGTGGCGGCAATATCAACCAATCATTGATGAAGGCGGGAACGAGCGGCCGGCTGTTGGTCAGTTGGGGAGCGCGAGAGTGGGCGTGGGAGTTGGGCGCATGCGTCAATGCGTCATCGGCGCGCGCCGTCTGCAACGTCATCGGTGTGCGCGGCTGTTGGTGGCCGCGGAGAGCTGGGAGCGTGGGTCCGCTCGGGGTTCCGGGGCCGCGTGCGCCGTTCCGGGCGGGACTCGGTCCGCTCTCGCTTCTCTCCTCGCCCGTCTCTGCACCATGAACCAGTTCAACTTCGGCTCGACCCCGGCGGGCGGCGGCTTCTCCTTTAGCACGCCGAAAACGACCGCCAGCACCACCGCGGCCACCGGCTTCTCCTTCACGCCCGCCCCCTCCTCGGGATTCACGTTCGGCAGCGCTGCGCCGACGCCCGCCAGCAGCCAGCCCGTCACGCCCTTCTCCTTCAGCACACCGGCCAGCAGCGCGCTGCCCCCCACCTTCAGCTTCGGGACGCCCGCGACAGCCGCCACCGCCACCCCGGCTGCCAGCGTGTTCCCGTTAGGGTGAGAGCCGCCGGTCGGGCTGTGGGGAGCGGGGCGGGCCGCTGTGGGGAGCTCGCCGGAATTCTGGTGCCGGTGCTCCGGGATCGGCGTGTGCTTGTGTGCCTTTAACGAGGCCTTGGGGCTGTGCTGGTTCTCATAGTGGGGTTCATACAATTGTATGTTTTGAGTTGGAAGGGACCCGCAAGGATGGGGGAGGCCGATCCTGGCACACAGCACCATCCTGAGATCAGACCTCGTGTCTGAGTGTTGTCCCAGCACTCATAGAGTCACAGAATGGTTTGGGTTGGAAACCTAAAGGATGATGAATCTCCAAGCCCCCTGCCACATGCAGGGCCACCAACCTCCACATTTCACAGCAGCCCAGGCTGCCTAGGGCGCCATCCAACCTGGCCTTGAACACCTCCAGGGATGGACGGGGCATCACAGCCTCTCTGGGCAGCTGTTCCAGCACCTCACTGCTGTCGTAGTACAGAACTTCCCCCGACATACAATCTGAATCTTCCCTCTTTCAACTTAAAGCCATTTCCCCTTATCCTGCACTGCCTACTCCTTGAGGACCAGCAGCAATGCCCACAGCCCTCTGGTGAAGAACCTTTTCCTGAGGTCTATAACAACGTACTACCTAAGCATACAGTTCCATCAGGCTATCACAGCACCTGTTGGTGCATCCTTCATTGTGCTGAATCAACTTGAACCTCAAGCAGACATTAGGGGAAAAGCTGTGTACAAAGTCACAGTACAGCAGCCTCAGTGACATCAGTCTCTGGTCTGTGTGAGAGCAGTGGGGAGGGAACTGAAGTTGGTGGTGAGTGGTAAAAGGTGACTGAGAGAACAGCCTCAGGTGGAGAAAATGAAAAGGGTGCCCAGGGGCTGAGAGGTAATGGCTCTGTTGATACTACAGCAGGTGTCTTATAATGCGTTGGTGCAAGGAAATAATTAAGGGAGTGTCAAGGTAAGAGTTACAGATGGCAGGACTTGTAATGCAGTCTTTGTCAGAACAGGAATGTGGTTCCATCATTCTGAAAGGTTTTCTGCTGTTTTGTCAGAATGTGGTCAGTTAGAATGCCAAGTCAGTGTTTCACTGGATGCATGACCTGAACAGCCTGGCTCACTGCTCTTCCTTTTTTTCCCCTTTTACAGGGGAAATGCACCGAAACTCAACTTTGGAGGCGCGAGCACAACTCAAACTACTGGAATCACAGGAGGATTTGGGTTTGGTACTTCTGCACCCAGCAGCGCGCCCTCAAGTCAAGCAGCAGCCCCTTCTGGCTTCATGTTTGGATCTGCCACCACCACCACCAGCAGCACCACTGCAGCTCAGCCTGGCACAACCGGAGGGTTCACATTTTCCAGTGGCACCACGACTCAGGCAGGAACAACCGGCTTCAGCATCGGTACCACAAGCACCGCAGCTCCGCAGGCAGCGCCCACAGGGCTGACCTTTGGAGCAGCACCAGCTGCTGCTGCTGCCACCACCGCTGCCAGCTTGGGGAGCACGGCCCAGCCTGCAGCAGCTCCCTTCAGCCTCGGGGGACAGTCCTCTGGTGAGTGAGTGCCTGAGCTCGGGGTGGGAGCTGTCACCAGGAGTGCTCTGGGGGTGGTGTGCACAGCCTGGCATCTTCTGCTGGCATTAAATCAAGCTACGGCTGTGATGAGTATTTCTTATGCACAGGAGGAAGGTCTGGCTCACGGGTGAGAATGATGTTCATCAGTGTTGAATCATTTGTGAAAGCCTTTGAAGTATTGAGCTCGCTGTTCCTAGTTCTGTTCCTGGATAACGCAGAGCCTTTGTTACATTAAATATTAATGTTTTGCGTATGCTCTTCTGCTAACTTGAATATTGCCATCAGTTTCTCTGTAGTGAAAGGTTCATCTCTTTTACTTCTGCTGCTCTTATCTCAGGTCTGAACTTCGGATCCTTGGTTTCAACAGCAGCCACTGGTGCACCCACAGCAACACTGACTGCGAGCACCAGCCAGGGACCCACGCTGTCCTTTGGAAGCAAACTGGGAGGTAGGGGGGAAAAAATGGTAGGAAATAATTACACAGGGCTTGGTGAGTCTTTTGTCCTCCCTGTAGTTTTTTTAAACCAGAATCTGAAGCGTGTGAAAGCCTGATGGGCTCTGCATGCACATCATCTACGCTCCTTCTGTTTGCAGTAACAACTACAGCATCTACAACGACAGCTGCCAGCACAGCTCCCCTGCTTGGTTCCACAGGCCCTGTGCTGTTTGCATCTATAGCGAGTTCTTCAGCACCAGCCTCATCCACCAGCACAGGCCTCTCACGTGAGTCACAGCACACAGATCTGCACAGGAGAGAATAAACAAGCAGCACGATTGGTGCTGCCTGCCAGCAGCAGGTGCTGTGGTAATAGGGATGACTGGAAGGGCAGCTGCTCTCTGTTTGCCACCTTCCTGAAGACTTCTGTAGCTGCTCACGAGGAGCTTCAGGAGTTGTGTTTTTCAGTGGGGAGCTGTGTTTAATGGGATGTACAAACTGTAGAGTTGTGTTCTGATTGCAGTTGGTGCCCCTTCTACTGGTACAGCTGGGCTTGGAACGTCTGGATTTGGATTAAAGCCTCCTGGAACAACAGCTGCAACAACCAGCACTGCCACCAGTAAGAACCAGATGCTGATGAAGATAAGGAAGCCTGTCTTCCTTCTAGTGATTGTGTAAAGGGCCACGCAAGTGTAGCAGCACAGCAGTGCTGATATAACTGAAAATAGCACAGTATTCCTATGTCATTCTCTCCTTTCATCTCCCTGCATTCACAGTTATTTATGACTTCTGAGTTTATCCGCAGCAAAGAGCCTTTGGGTGAAAGCCTGCAGGGCTTTGAAGTTCTGGCCTGGAGTGAGCAAAGTAAAGAGATGAGCTGTTCTGTCTCTGGCCTGTTTGTGTAGATAGAGGATTGCTGGAGAGCTTGGGGAGAGACTTATGGGGGGTATGAGGAAAAGGAAATGCCAGGGATTGCAGGGTGTTTGTTGAGAGAGAATTTGCATTTTGATTCCACCCCGTTAAGCTGTTTCTTCCACATTATAAGTGTTGAGTTTCACAGACTTTTCCCACTCTGGGTGCTCAGTGCTGTACTGAAGTGGCAAACCCTTGTGTGGAAATCTACAGTGGAATTTGCTGCTGCAGCCTTCACGTTCAGGATGCAGCATCCTTTTCTGGATGCAGTGAGCTGTCAGTGTAACCAAGCTGTCAGGGTGTTCCTAAAGCTTGTTTCTGGAGGATTTCGATCAGTGATGAAAGTGCTGTATGTGTGAGTGATGGCGCTGCCTGACAGGTGCTCCTTACTTTGTGGGGATGTGGGGATCTCCTCTACAAAATACCCTGCAGCAGCCGTGTTGTGGTGCATCTCCTGGAGGTGCTGTTAGATGTCTTAGCTCTAACAGCAAAGCACAAGGAGTTGGAGAGGGATAAGGGCCATGTGAAGTGCAGGCTGCCAGTTCCTTGTTTTACTAGAGCTACTAATCAAGTATTTCCAGTCTGCTTCTGTTAATTGTGCCAAGGAGTGCTCTGTGCCCTTCCCAACACACAGGATTTGCTCTCTGTTGAAGGGATGTGGCTGAGCTGTACGTTGAACGTGGATGTGTTACACAGCAGGTGTCCTCTTCTGCTGTTGGATCTGAATTTCTTCTTTCAGGCACTTCTGCTTCTGGCTTTGCTTTGAACCTTAAACCATTAACTACAACCGGTACAATGGGAGCTGTGACTTCTACAGCTGCTATAACCACAGCAGCAACCAGGTGAGCGTTCTGTTACAGCCGTCTGGGGCAGGAGGCAGCATTACTGCTGCTAATGGGGGAAGGGGGCGCAGGGTTGTGAGGGTTGTGCTTGGATCAGTGACTGTGTTCTGTGCTGTCCCACGTTTCCTCTCAGTGCACCTCCTGTGATGACGTATGCCCAGCTGGAGAGTCTGATAAACAAGTGGAGCCTGGAGCTGGAGGATCAGGAGAAGCATTTCCTCCATCAGGCGACACAAGTGAATGCCTGGGATCGGACACTGATAGAGAATGGAGAGAAGGTCGGGTGGCAGCCAGCCTGGTTCTGCTTGCTGAGTTTGTTAGAGATTTGGAGAGCAGATGTAATCCAGATACAGCTCATTTCTTTTGAATTTGCCTGGTAAAATTGTCTTCTATTTCCAGATTACTTCACTGCACAGAGAAGTAGAGAAAGTGAAGCTTGATCAGAAGAGGTGAGAAACTGTGAACACTTGAGATGACCTTATTGTTTGTTCTTATTCTCCATTGTCTTGCATGGAAATTCTTGGACATCAGCCTGATCTAAATGGTGTCGAGTCGTTCACGGTGTCCTTTTCAGACTGGATCAGGAGCTGGACTTCATTTTGTCCCAGCAAAAGGAGCTTGAAGACTTGCTGACCCCTCTGGAGGAATCAGTGAAGGAGCAGAGTGGGACCATTTACTTGCAGCACGCGGATGAAGAACGGGAGAGGACGTAAGAGATCAGTTTTGAACGCGTGATAGGCTGGGCAGTGTGGTGATGATCAGTCAGAAATGGGGATACAGGATAATAGTTAGCTGTCAGGGACTTTCCACCAATATGTCATCCTGTCTTCTGTCACATTTTGTGTGCTAGAAATATGGGAATTGCAATTGGAAGCTCTTAAATCAGGGTGTTTGGGTGGCATTGGTCTCACCAGCTGTCTAGGAAGGTGTTGTTATTTAGGCATCATCCCTCAAAAAACGTAATTAGTGGTAGAAGTGATGAGAGCAGAATGCATCACGTGCAGCTCGAGCATCCTTGCAAGCGTTGAATTTTAGTGGGGGTAATGAAAGAATGCTTTGGTTCAAGAGGTGCAAATGGTACAGAATCTGGACCAGCTGCTGGTAAAACCTTCCAGAAAAAACTTGAGCAGTGTTATTTCTCTGTCTCCAAGTGTCTGACAGTGGAAGGCTGAGGAGCTGCCTCCTGTGTGTCTGCTGTGCCCTGGTTGGAAGGCACGGATGCTAATTGTGATTGCAGCTCTGTGGCTGGGAGCAGGCTGTGTGCAGCTGGCTCTGAACGCTGGCTCACATCCTCCTCCCTTGCACCTCGCAGCTACAAGCTGGCTGAGAACATTGATGCTCAGCTGAAGCGAATGGCACAAGATCTCAAGGACATCATTGAGCACCTGAACACTTCGGGACGCCCCGCGGACACCAGCGACCCGGTAAATCCAAACTGCTTCTGTGCTTTGGCATAGAGACCCAGGCTGTAAAACAGTGCTGACGCTTCATCTGTCTGCTGGTGGTGCTCTGCTTTCAGCCTCCACCCAGGAAAAGCATTCTATCGTTTGTTGATTCTCTGGTAATGCAATGCAAGCCAGCCCGGCCGTGTGGTTACTGTGAGATGAACCTCTTTGCTTCTGGTGCAATTCTTGAACAGCTGACTCGGTTCACAGCTGTTTCTGAACTTTGATCCTGCGTTCTGTTGGAGCATTTTGTGCAAAAAGCACAGCTGTCAATACTTCTACACTACCTTTGTATCCTTGTGAAAACAAGATCGAAATTAGGAGCTTTTTGATCCGTATTCCTGATCTCAGTAATTGATCTCAGTGCTCCTTGTAGCTCCTCGCTCTTTGCTGAGAGGCTTTTTTCAGTGAAAATGGCACCTTGGTGTTCCAGACTGAAGTTTTTATTTTGTTTCTTTTTGCTTTTCTCACCTCGAGGCTCAGATCCACATTGTGGTGCATCTTATGTCTGAGTCTGACTAAAACTGAGCCGCAGGCACACTCTGAATCGATCTGTTTCCTTGATGGCAAAGAGAAGCAAAGCAATGCAGCTGCTGCAGAGCAGAAATGCTGTGTTGGTAGAGCTGTGTGTGTGAGGAGTTTGCTTGCTTTGCATCCCAAAGGCAGAGTCCAGCACTGTCCCATGCTGCTCGTAGTTCTCATGTGCTCTAACAGTAACTCACACCCTCTCCTTCTGTTCAGCTTCAGCAGATCTGTAAGATTTTGAATGCACACATGGACTCACTGCAATGGATTGACCAGAACTCAGGTGAGAGTCATCTTGCAGCTCTTAGGGAACATAAACTTAAGGCATGTAGCTGGTTAGAAATGAGCTCCTGAAGGTCACTGAGGAATCTTCTCTTTTGGACTTTCCTGATGTGCACTGAAAGCCTCTGCTGAAGTGCCACAATGCGTGGAAACGTGGCATAACAGTCACTTGAAGTAATGCAGAGCAGAAGATTTAATGGATGGTGAACATTTGGTACTGTAGTTACTGTTAATTAGCTTGGATTCGTTCAGCCAATTCATCATCTTGCATCTGGGGCTCAACACTGAGGACAGAAAGAAAGGAACTTTCCTGCTGGGGATTATTGTGCCCACGAGTGGGGTTGAGGAGTTGTGTGTGGTTTTGGTACTGACAGATGTTAGCAGCTGCAGGGGGCACTGCAGGATGGGGAGCACAGCAGCACCAGGTGTCCTCACTGCAGCACTGTGCTGCTGCTCTCACCAGGCAGTTCTGGGCTGGATGCAGCCACGCTGCTTCTGTCTGAGACATAAAATAAGCAGTGTTGTTGGTTTGCTTAGGTCAGAACTAGATTAGCCTTCCTGCTAGAAGATCAGTGCAAATCCTTGCATTCCAGGCGTGCCTTCCTTGTGAAGCCTGCTGTAGCTCCTAGAATGCTGACCCTGCAGAACGTTAGAGGATATCAAACAGTTTCTTGATCAGCTTCATTTCCCATAAAGCGCCCTCAGGGGTGTCCTGCAGCAGCGGGGATAAGGATCTGTTCTAGGAATAGGTGTGCAAAGTGGTGCTTGGCTGGTCTGACCTGTTTAAGCATTACGTGGAACTGGGGAACTTCAGATTAATGGTGCTTGTTCAGCTTTGCTTACGCTGACACGAACGGGCTTGCAGAACACACACGGATGTTTCAGCCCCACGGTGGCCTCCCTGGCAGGAGAGCTGGGATAACGCCTTGCTCTGAGCTGCTTTCTCCTCCTGAGAGAAGCAGGAATGGCTTTCTTTGTTACAGCGCCGTTCTGAGTGGAGCTGTAGGAGGCAGAGAAAGCAGACTGTCATTTGATGCCACTTTTGCACGGTGGGTTTTTGCAGAGTGACAAACTGAAATGTGTTGCTTAATATGTTACTGGAAGGTTCTGGGTTTGGCACGCTGCAAAATTAAAACTTCAGCTGGAATATCTCCAAACCACAGAGTGACAGAATGCTGTAGCCCCGTTGAGTTACTTCTGATAAGCTTTCATGAAATTAAATTAAACACTGCTCTGCTTGGTGCCAAGAGTACATTGCTGTGCCTCCTGCATTTGGAGCTGAGAGTCAATCCGTGGCTTATTTGCAGTTCCCTGATTGGGAAATGTGTAACAAGTTATCTGTAATGTGACTGAAAGCGATCTGCGTCTCCTCATTGCACTTTTTACTACGCTTGCAGTTAGAAGCTTGTTGTTTGTGGCTGTTATCCTGCAGGAAAATGCTTCCAACAGCTGGGCTCACCTGAGTGCTGCCTCATTCCCAACTGCTGGAGTGGGAGGCGGGCAGGGAAAGGCCACCAGAAGTCAGGCTGCAGGAGCAGTGCAGGGAGGCTTCGCTCTGCTCTCTGCTGCCGTGCCCAGGAACTGCACTGAGCGCCTGCAGAGCTCTGCTGTGCTGCTGCCCGTCCCTGGATGCACAGTGCTGCCTGGGAGGCCACGGGGAGCAGGCGGCGCTCTGCCCTCAGGCTCCCTGTCTGTTTGAATGGCAGAATAGGGGAGGCGTTGGGTCGCAGGTGGCTGTGAGAGTGAGCGCTGTTCTCCATCCCACAGCCTTGCTGCAGAGGAAGGTGGAGGAGGTGACGAAGGTTTGTGAGAGCCGCCGCAAGGAGCAGGAGCGCAGCTTCCGCATCACCTTCGACTGAAGGACTCCGAGTTCAGAATGTCAGTTCCCCGTAGAGGAGAGGATGGTGGGGACCTGCGTGACATCTGCTTTTTCATTTTTCTTTCTTTAATTGCAATAAATTTCTTCTGTTTTAAATTCTGAAGTTACTCTTTGCCGTGTCTGAGGGTTCTCCTGCTGCAGGTGCACAACTGCTGCCTTCACAGCTGGGCCCCCCAGCTCAGCACTTTGCTGTAAGCTGAATACTTGCAGTCGCAGCTCCAGATGCTGTTATTTGGGTCCTTACATGAATGGGTAGATGAACAGCTGTTGTGAGGAGCCTGATAGCCTCCGCTTCCCCCATTACAGCGTGGACTTCAATGAGGGGTTAATTAGGTATGCCTCTGCTTGTGAAAATGGATCTCATTTTCTTTTGGCATAAACTGCTTTTGTGTTTGTACCTTCGAGGGCTCCCAAAGCACCTGCATGCAGGATTTGTGTCTGATTAAAAACAGAAGCTGTGCAAGCGGGAAAAGGGTCGTTCTGCTGCGATTCTGCGCGTGTTGCTCTGCAAGAGTAGAAGAAAACGTGGAGCAAGCGTGCTGCGAAGCTGTGAGACACAGCGTTGTACCGCTTTCACTAACAACGCGCTTACAACGCCGAGCGCGGTCACCGCGGCGCTTCGTCCTCCCCTCCGCCAGGGGGCGCTCGGTCAACCCCGCCCCGCCGCCCTTCCCGCGGGTGCTGCTGGGAGTTGGAGTCCCGGGCGGACGGAGGCAGCCGGCAGCGGCGCGGCCATGCGGAGGTGAGCGGGGCTCCGGGGCCGGGGGGGGGGGAAGCGGGGGCTGCGCGGCCGTGTGCTGAGCGGCGTTTCGTCCGGAGCAGGGTGAGCAGCAGCGTGTGCAGCGATGAGGTGCTGCTGGAGGAGCTGGAGACCGAGGGGGAAAGGCAGCTGAAGAGCCTCCTGCAGCAGCAGCTCGACACTTCCGCCTCCATCGAGCGGTGAGTCCCGGGTGGCGCGGCCCCTTTCACGGCCCCCCCCTTTACACGGCGGTTGCGCTGCTCTCGGTTCCAGGTGTAAATCGAAGCGGAGGTGCTTTGCTCCGGCGGCGTTCTACAGACCCTTCGGTGAGGCGGCGGCGGGGGCACTGAGCTTATCCCAGTTCCGAGAGCTGCAGGAAAGCGACAAAGAGACCGCGGCGCTGCGGGAGTTGGGGCTGTCGGAGCCCGAGATCGCGCTATGGAAGAACCGCGCTGTAGAGAAGGTTTGTGAGCAGCGCGTGTTTGTAACGGCCTCGTAAGCAGCGGCAGGCCGCAGAGCCGCCTCCTCTCCGGGCTGAACGCCTCCAGCTCCGGCCGCCCCGTGCAGCGTTGCTCCGGCTCCCCGCAGGAGGCAGCTGGCGGTGCTGATTTTATTACCGGTTCCTTTCTTGCAGCGCTCCGGGCTGGGGGCGGCCCCCGAAGCCATGCAGGAGCGCCTCAACGCCATCCAGGAGAAGATGGACGAGCGGCAGCGCATCCTGGAGCTGCCCCAGAGATTTGCTGGCAGCAAGCAGCTGAGCCGGAGGGAGATGGAGATCGAGAACGCTCTCTTCCAGGGAACGGACCGGCACTCCTTCCTGCGGGCGCTGTACCACCAAGGTGTGCCCCCATCCCTTCTGTTCTTGTGGCTGTTTAGTGGGCAGAGATGGTATCACTGGGAATTCCATGGGATGGAGGTGAGCCGCGAGGTGCAGAGCGCTCCTTCTGCTCCCTCGTGCAGAGGTAGGGAGCCCAGGTGAGGCTGGATGTGCTCCTGGCTCGGTCAGTGGTTTATGTCTAGGAGGATGTTAAAGGATGAAGTGCTGGTGGGGGAGAAGCGCACCGTCACACCGTGCTTCTCTGTTGTGGATTAGATGACACTCAAAGGATAACGGATGAGAAAGACCCCATGGTTCACCTGGAGAGTGTTTACCAAGAGGTGCTGGGCAAGCAGCCGCCCGGACAGGACCAACCATCCACAAGTGCTGTGTGCTCGCTGCCTGCCCCCGCCCCGCAGGGCTCTGGCACTGAGGAGTCACCACCTCCTGACCAGGAAGAGCAGCCAGGCCAGGAAGGAAGCCCCAGCCCTCCTCCAGCAAAGCCCCACCAGTCCCCTCCAGGGCCTGTGACTATAAAGGAGCCTGTAGAGTTCATCCCGGAGGAGGAGATCTGCAAGAACCGGCTCTCTGAGGAAGAACTCCGCAATATGCCTCGGTTTGCTTCCTACCATCCTGGGGAGCCCAATAAGGTACGTGGAGATGAACCACGCTTCATCCAGCTTCCTAACCAGGAGTGCAGGCAAAGGCTCTTCGCTCCTGCCTGGCTGCTGCTTGGAGGTGCTCGTTCCTGCACACATGGGGGACTCTGCTGGCAGCTGGGCTGAACTGGCTCCTACATTTGAGGTGTACAGGCTGGGAGTGGGTTAAGCACACCTGTTAGCGCAGCACAGGGCAGCCGACCCTAACGCCTCCTCAACAGGTGCTGTATGTGAAGAACTTGGGCCCTCGTGTGACGATGAAGGACCTGGTGTCACTGTTTGCTCGGTTCCAGCAGGAGGACAGCAGGCCCATCCAGTTCCGCCTGCTGAGCGGCCGCATGCGGGGTCAGGCCTTCATCACCTTCCCTGGTGAGCTCTGCCTCCTGCCTGTCCCTTCCTGCCTGCCTCCCCAGGGTGGTGCAGAGCCCCTCCATGCTGCAGGAGCAGATTTTGCTCCTCTCCTTCACCTCAGGTCGTGTTCTTTTCTGTGGGCTGGGGGGCAGCCGCATGCTGGGTTTGTTGGGCTGGGGTCTCCAGTGCTGCGCTGGGTCGCGGTGCGGGTTGAGAACCGGGCTGCTGTTTCCTTGCAGATATTCAGTCGGCCCAGGACGCGATGCTCTTGGTGAATGGGTACAGACTGCAGGGGAAGCCAATGGTGATCGAGTTTGGGAAAAGCAAGGGGCCGTCGATAGAGGCTGAGGCTGCCGCTCCCTCCTCTGCTGGAGCAGAGCCCACTGCCACGTAAGGGCTGGAGGACCGTGGGGACTCGACAGGTCCTTGGACTGCCTTGCTCAGGACTGGTGGGAGCTGAAGCGCAGCTCGTGCAGCTGCAGTGGCAGGGTGAGAGCTGAATACAGCCTCGAGGAGGGCGGTGCTGAGGAAGCGCTGCTCTCTGCCCTGCTGGCACATGAGGAGCTTCAGGAAGGCTGGTGCTGTTCTCGCCATGTGCTGTTCTGTTGGGCTGTTCCACCTGCCTGCGTTCTTTGTGGTGAGGAAGAGGAGGGGAAGCTTCGTCTGTTTATGTTGTGTATTTCTGCAGCTTTATTTGCATGTCAGTGTGTTCTTTTGAGAGAAAAGGGAGTAGCGTGCAACAGGGCACCATTTTTCAGACTTGTTGTGTCTTTAGTTGGTGTGTAATTAACTTTCTGCCACTCTGATGTTTATAGGAACAGTGTAGTTTGCCTTAAGGTGGTGCTCTGGGTGCAGAAGTTGCTGGGGCTCTGATCTGTTGGAGATTTCTGCTCTAACTGGCTGAGCTGAAGCCACTGTTTGGCACAGGACTCCATGTCCAGCAAAAATTACCCAAGATTCTATCTATCTATATATTGTAAGTTATTTCTTGCACGCTGCATTTCCCCCCCTCCCCCATTTTGCATTTTCTCCCAGATCAACTTGCAGGAAATGAAAAACACAGCAGCCCTATGACAGTGACTTCCCTCTGCCCCAACCCACTGTAGGGATGCAGGTAAAGTGGGGAGGAGAAGCTGGCTGCATGGGAAAAGGAGCAGAACAAGAACCAGAGCTGAGGGAGGCATGGCTACCCTTAGCCTTCAAATAGAAAGAGCTTACAACGTTCTGCAGGAGGGGGGAGTTAGGCTGGCAATAAACCATGAGCCCAGCTATGCCTGACAAAGAAACAACGCCAGCACCTGGAGCCTTGTGCAGGACCTTTCCAGCCCAGGGTCTCGTTCAGCTGGACAGAAGGTGCATGGATGTGACAGAGCCCTCAGGTGACACAGGGGGGCTCAGGTTCTCCTTCCGGTCCCTCAGCCCCAGGGGTGCCAACAGCCAGCCCAGCCTGCAGCCCTGCCACCCCCATCCTGACACAGTGTGCTCTGTGCACATACCTTATGTCTGGATCACACCGTCAGCCACCAGTTTGGTAATAAAATTTAATTGGACATGCTTTCAGGACCACAGCTGGCCCAAGCTGCAGTTTACCCGCTGCTCTGTTTGGCTGCCAGTCTCTTATCTCTCTCTTCAGCAATGGTCAGGCGGATGCCCTTTCCACGGGGCAGAGAGATCCATGGCTTGTTGCCCTGAAGTGAGGGGGGAGAAATCACATCACACTGAGGAACTCAAGAGGGTTATAAAGTCCTCCCTTTCAATGAGGAAAAGCAGCAAGGGCAGCCCTTGCCTGAGCAGGGCAACAAGCAGTTTGGTGTCCTTTGCTCAACAGCAGGCCCTGAGGAAACTGTGGTGCCAAAGCCATCAGAACCTTTTCCAACCTGGACTTAAGGATTCAGAGATGGCAATGTTTGAGGCTCCTGGGAGAGAGGACACTCCTATGGAGCAGTTGCCCCTAAACTGCTCAGCTCCACCTTGCCCAAGGAGGCTGTGCATGCCCCATCCCTGCAGGCATTTGAGGCCAGGCTGGATGTGGCTCTGGGCAGCCTGGGCTGCTGGTTGGTGACCCTGCACACAGCAGGGGGTTGAAACTAGATAAGCATTGTGGTCCTTTTCAACCCAGACCATTTGATGATTTCTGTGATTTGAGAAGAAAACATTACAGGGTTTCCTCTTCCAAACATCCCCAACCCTTCTAGGAAGGCGGCTATGAATTCAGAGCAGTCAGCTCTGTAGGCTTACAGGCGAGCAGAAGCTGCCCCCAGGAGACACCCATAACTCCTGGCTTTAAGAGGAGGGGAGGACACACTCTCCTTCAGCCCAAGCAGGCTTACCTTGCCAATAACGAAGATGTTGGAGAGCCTGGTGGCAAAGCTGTTGCCATTGGCATCCTTCACATGCACCACATCGAAGGAGCCAGGGTGTCTCTCCCGGTTGGTGATCACCCCAATCCGGCCCAAGTTGGCGCCGCCAGTCACCATGCACAGGTTTCCTAGGATGAAGGAGAGAGGGCTGTGACAAGAGCTTGTGGTGCTCCTCAAGAGCCTGGGGAGAGGCAGAGCCGTGGAGCATTCGGACAGGAACCACCCAACGCAGCTCTCTGGTCCCAACATCCATACAACGCATTCCTTATCACTTTCTTGCTACGCTGCTCAGTGGCAGCTGAAAGCTTCTCCCACAGCCTGCTCCTAAAGCAGAGAGCAGGGAATCTTCCTCTCACTGCCCAGGGCTTTTCTCTCACAGCCCCATCTGGCCTCAAGCAACCTTTCCAGCAGCTTCTGCCCAGTGCCTGGGAGCTGTTCAGAGTCCGCACACCCAAACGCCTCCCACTGCCCAGACACAGGAGGAACCGGAGCTCCGGATGCACAGGGAAACATCACTGCCTGCACGAGGATGCTGCTTCTCTATTCACATCACAGGTGCCTGGCAGTTGTCCTCAGCTTCTGCACTGCTCACCAGTCTCCCAAGAAAGCAGCATCTTGCAGGACATGCTCGACCCACCTGTGTCAAACTTGATGAAGTCTGTGATCTTGCCGGTCTCCAGGTCAATCTGGATCGTATCGTTCACCTTGATGAGGGGATCCGGATAGCGGATGGTGCGGGCGTCGTGGGTGACCAGGTGAGGGATTCCTTTGGTGCCCACAAAGATCTTCCTCACCTTGCACAGCTTGTACTGCAAGCAAAGCACGGCCCTGCTCAGACACAGCTCCCCAGCCTCTGCACAATCACCACCTTCATTTTCCTACTGAAGTACCCACACTGCAGTGTTCTTCTCACTCTGCCCTGAAGCCCATGGCCATGCAGCAGAGGCTTCCATCCCCCAGGCCCACCAGAGCCCTGCAGCCCTCCTAAGCACCCTCCAACTTCCAGCCAGCTTGGGACTCACAGCTTAACACAAAGCAGCAGCCAGAAGTGGGTGCACTGCTGGGGATGGAAGGGCCCTGAATGCACAGCCAGCAAGCAGCTCTCCCCTCAGCATCACCACACAGCAGAGGTGCCTGGGTTAAGGCAGGGTGCACAGGAGTCCCTCCTTGACACTCCATTTTGAGAGCAACTCTCTTCTAGGAAGGGCCTAAAAGTGCTGCCCACAGCTTCTTAGTGCTGCACAATGCACCTCTGGCTGGGCATGACTGGGGTCTGAGCAGCAGCCCTGCTTGTGGTGGCCCTAAGTCTGCATTCTGCCCATTCAACCACAACAAACAAAGCTCTCTGTAAAGGTGACCCAACCACACCAAGAGCGAGAGCAGCCAGCAGCTGACCACGCACCTGCAGGTACATCTGGGCACCACCCTCACATCACCAACACGTTTTCCCCCACAAAAGCTCCATGCCCCAACCCAGAAGGCCCTGCAGAACAGCTGATCCTCTCGAGGGTGGCACGGATTCTGCATTTCAAAACCACCAGCTCAGGACACGCCAAGGAACAAACAGTGCTCTGAGAACACCCGGCCAGGCCCACATGGCAACAAGCTACAGCTCCTCACCTTGGCCTCTTCAGCTGTGATGCGGTGAACAGCAAAGCGGCCCTTGGTGTCGTACACCAAGCGGAAGTGTTCGCCTGTCTTCTCGATGCTGATGACATCTGATTTCACAGAGAGAAATAAAACAGCAGCAGTTAACAACTATGCTATCCAACGCTAACTCAGCACAGAGCTCATCTTTAAATGGGACATAAAGGCTGCTGAACCACGCTCTCTCCCTCGTTGTCACCAGGGCATCTTCCCTCCCCACACAGCCTCACAACGCTGCCCCCCAGCAGCACGACATACCCGTCCTCACTCCCCCCGGACCTCACCCATGAAGCCCGCAGGGTAGGTGATGTCGGTGCGAACTTTGCCGTCGATCTTGATGAACCTCTGCATACAAATCTTCTTCACCTCATCTCCGGTCAGGGCGTACTTCAGCCTGTTCCGCAGGAAGATGATCAGCGGGAGGCATTCCCTCAGCTTGTGAGGGCCCGTGGAGGGACGGGGCGCCTGCAGGAGGAGAGGAGCCTCGGGATAGGCACACAAAGCAACGCGGGCCCCGCAGCAGCACCTGGGGATGGCCGCATGGTGCCCAAACCCTCAGCTGGCACTTACGAGCTGCGGAGGGCGCAGCCCCGCCCGCAGGACGGCAGATCCGCCTTAAGAAACGCTGAGAGTTCACAAACCATCCCCGAGGAGCGCAGCCGAGCTCCCAGCCCCGCGCAGCCCCGACCGCCCCCGGCCCGCACTCACGAAGACGCCCGTCAGCTTGTCCAGCATCCAGTGCTTCGGCGCCGCCACGCGCTTCAGGTGCTTCTTCGGGCCGCGGGCCTGCGGGACGGGACGTGTTAGAGAGAGGGGCCGCCGCTAGGCCCGCCGCCCCCATCGCCGGCTCCCGGCCACCCCCGGCTTCCCGTCCCTCCCACAGCCCTTCGGTGGGTTCCCTCGTGCCCGGGGCCGCGGCGGGGGCGGCGTCGGCCCACAGGAGGCGGCGGATGGCGGTGGATGACGGAGGGGAGCGGCGGCGCCGCGCACTCACCATGGCTGCGCTCCTGCGGGAAAGGGAGGCCGCTTCCGGTGCGAGGCTGATATGGGCGGGACGGGCCGCGGCGGCACCACCTCCCCTTAGTGCGCCCCCTGGCGGCGCGGAGGTCCTGAGGGCGCTGTGAGCGACACCACCTCCCACCTCCCGCGACGGGCCGCGCGCAGTGCTGTCCTCCATGCGCTCCCCTTCCATGCTAGGACCATCCCAAGTCACCCCTTAACCAGGCTGGGACCCCCCACAACCCATTCATCCAGACTGGGATCCTTTCACGGTTTCCTTCCCCACCCCCAATGGTTCCTCATCCAGGCTGGTTTCCCTTCATTAAAGCTGGGATGTCCCCATCTCCTCCCTGTGCCCCAAGCTGGGATCTCTCCACATGCACCCTATCCAAAATGGGGCCAGCCCACGTTCCCCCCACGAACCACGCTGGGTACACCTCCCATCTCCTCCCTGCATAGGGTAGGGGGCAAGAAGGGGTCAGTTGGTGCCAGTGCTGCAGTGGGGGATGTTGGTAAGGTGGCTGGAGGGGGAGCCCACGTATGGGGACATCCAGGGAGGGACAAACTGGCTGGCTGGCAACCACACTCCTGCTCCTTACCTAAACCCCACTGAGCCCCACAATTTGGTACTGGAGGTTCTTCCCCTGAAGGGATGGTTACCAACGCTGAGTGCAGGCAAGGTAGGGCAGATACAGGGCGAAAGGAAAAGGGCTGGAGTATTTCAAATATTTTATGTGGAAAAAAAATGCCCATCAGTTTAAAACACAGCTTGCAGTGGCCTGTCTCTTAAAAAACATTTAAAACCAGTTGTGAGAATAAACTTTAACCACGTTAAAAAAGGGAAGAGAGATGAGCAAGGGAGGCTCTGCTGGCCTGGGAAACCTGTGGCTGGAGGGCACGCTCTCCCACCCATGGAGATCCATGGCACACAGTAGGCTTTGCTTTTTTAAAGAGAAATGG